GAAGTTTCATCTGGACATTTTGACACCAAGGATCTTGCTTTTGTATGTTTTGGTGTTCCCTCTTCTTACTTGATATTTTGGTCATGGGTTTGACTTTCATTTCCAGATCTATGACCACTTATGTGACCTATACCGGTATTAAGTGGTTGAAATAATACCAACAATAGTCACTTACACATGTGTTACATCACGCCGTGTTTCTGCCCTGCTAGTTTGGTTTCATTTTTAGTTGCCCAAACCAACCAAGCAATAAAAGTAAGAATCCACGACGCACCATGATTTGATCTTGAACTAGTGAAATGTTAGAGACACACAATAAGGACATTATCTCTTCTTTAGGGCATCTCCAACATTGCTTACCAAATTTCCCCTATATGTCCAGACTCTTCTTTAGGAGAAATGTTAGGTGCTTAGAGCAACTCTAGCAAGTTGCCATATGGCTCGATCGCCTTTTAGTTGTGCTAGCATATGCAAACAAAACAAGCCGAGTGATCTTAATGTACATAAGATAAAGTGCAGGTCACCCCTAATTATAGCATATTGTTGTCTTTTTATATATGACTCATTTTAGTTCGCATACAAATATTTATCCTTAGTGGCAATAATACAATGCAATAAAATAGAAGTCCTTTTCACTTTCTATCACTATGGTAGTTATTTGCGAGATTAGACCCAACTAATGAATATACCCTACTCTACCGATTATTGATATGAAATGACCAAGATTGAACATGCAACCAGAGAGAAATATGCATCTATAAGTGAAACATAAAGGCATCCATAAATCAGAACATAAAGAAATAAATAATCACATGATCAACATCACCGCTAGGGTTTACATCAAATTAACCATAATCATGTAGGGCGGCTCATATGACTATTGTATTGAACTACAAAGTGGAGAGATTGCATCTTGGCTACTTCCATGAAGTTTGGAGCGTGATGATCGATACATCACCATCGGGAAACATCGATGCTCCATCATTTGATGCTTCTCCTCCTATCTCCACCAATGTTTGGTTAATCCGTCTTTGCCTCTCCATGCACCTAACCTTAACTATGCGGATCCCACCCGTCTTTGATGGAACACATTATTCTCATTGGAACTTTTCTATGGAGTCTCATATTAGCAGCTTGTCGATGGTGCTTGGGACATCGTTGAACACAAGTTCAGTCTGATGGACCCTATGAATTTGACTATGTATGAAGTGATAGTCAACAACTCAATGTCTCTGCTCTTCACTTGACTCGAAAGGGCCTCTCCAGACAGATATATGTCCAAGTGGTCTCCAAGAATTCAAAGATCAAAATACGAAATGGCCAAGTGTGAGATCCACTTATTTGTGATGAACTCAGATGGGACCTCATAATCCATAAGTGCAGAAAATTGTTGTAACTCTTTTCAATATGAAGGTGGAAGCATGGAGTGTTGATATCCCATATGAATCAAATGTAAGAATTATATTCTCTCAAGCTCTGTTTGCCACAGACACAACATTTCGTACATCAACCCTTTGCTTTACCTAGACAGTCTAACAAAAGAAAATTTACAATTCTAAAAGAGGTAGTGTGGAAGGGCATAAAGTGTAAGTAAATAAATATTAGATATTGAAGTCTAAAATGTAAGTAATTAAATTTTGGAGAAGATTCTTTTAAGGAGTACATGCTGTAAGCACACCTAGGAGTTTTCCGGGCATCTATTTAGATAGAGGCTAACGTGCGCTTCGCCGCGTTGTTCTTTTGTCGTGGGACACCTCTTTTTTCTCTAACAGGTTATTGCGGTTGGTTGTTTCATTTGGGTTTTATCTACGTTAGCTTTTTTTAGAATCATCTACGTTAGCTTGGATTTCATTATGCTCTACCAGATTTATATTCGAATGTCGTGTTGGGTTGCTGTTCGAGACGATATTTGTGGTGTCCTTACACGCTTTGGCCTCAGTGTTAGCCGCTGGTGGTTGTGTGAGTCCCTTGGGAGCTCTTATTCCATGTTGTAGCAGTGAAGTTGCTGCTACAACACTCACATGCACTAGTCAATGAAGCTCTCGCTCATTTAGCTCGGCTCCCTGCTCCACTTGCTTTGTTTTTTTTCTCCCTCGCTCCACTTCAAGCTAAAAAAAACCGGCTATTGTGTTTTCTATTCAAAGTGCAGTAAATCAAAAGAAGTTCATGTATTTAAAAAAATAGTTTTTGAAGATATTGTGAGTTAAAAATCTAAATTAATAAAACGTTCACAATTTTAAAAATATTCGTGGATTTCAAAGAATCATGAATTTTAAAATGCTTTACAAATACTAAAATATTTATGAAATTTAAAAATGTTCATGAATTATTTTTTTGTGAATACTAAATTTTTTTCATAGTTTTTTAAAAATGTTCAAAAGTTTAATGAACATTCATGAATTAAAATTCAAAATAATAAATGATAAGAAGTAGAAAAACAAACAAAAAAAGAAAAAAAGGAAGAAAAAACAAAAACCAGTACTAAAACATGTAAAACCACATAAAAGAAAAAGACTAATCAATACCTTCTGAAAACAAGAAAAAGCGACCTACCCAGGAACACACTCCCTTACAAGCGGGGCCCATAGCCCCATGCACAAAGAGGCTCCAAATTTAGATGTGAAGTAGCGATGTGTTGTGAGACGAAAGAAGTGCTTCTGGCGGAGTCTATTTGGAATTATACTTAGGCTTAGTTTGGCAGCTCTGTTTTTGAAACACCATAGTAATCCAAAACCTCGGTTTTTAAATGTGTGGGCAATGAATACTTTGGTTTTTAAAAAGCATAGTTTTTCTCAGTTTTGACGAAACCACCGATGAGTTTGGCAAGTGTTGTTTTTGACTCGCTGCGCCTTGCTCAACTATACTCATGGAGCTGATCTGCACGTAGAAACGACGCCCAATGCATGCATCATTATATGCACGTAGAGTCGATTGGGTAGTTAGCCTTTAGGTTGCTGCACACAAGTGCTCCACCGACCAATGGATATACTCAAGAGGGTGCCGTCTCTGTAGAGAAACTAACTACCAAATCTGAAGCGCCTAATAATCAGAAGCACTTCGTTGAAAAGACAATAAATCAGAGGGATCAGAGGCGGCAATCTCATTTTATCAACTTTAAACGTAGACGAGGCGACGAGGTCTCTCAGTTCAGTTTATAAAAAAGAGGTTCTGGCCTCTTTTTAAAATAGTACAAAAAACCACAGTATGATAGATACCTTGATATGTGAAACTACAGTATTTGTTTTATCCAAACACCTCAAAGTATTTAATACCAAAATTATTTCAGAAACCACAGTATTTTCAGAAACCACAGTGTTTTTCTGACGACAATGAGTGAAGACCCGACAGTACTATGTACCAATAAATAGACCGAATGTTTTTTAAAAGGTACCCAACAAAGAGCCTCGTTGTTGCGTACCCATGAAAAAACACTCAACGAATAGCCTAACGCTATGCAATGATAGATTTTCCTATAGTGTGGGAGTGTGAGCTGAAGGTACAACTATCCTCCTAATTATCTAAACACAGGATTACGTGGATTTATTTTAGGTCTTTCGACGATATGCGTTTATTGGAAGAAGACGTTCCGTCGATTACGTAGACATCTGTGATGACTTCGTCAATCTCAAGATGATATGCCGGTTTAGTCTCTTGGAGGTGTTCATAAGAATAGGGTATACATGCATGCATTCATAAGGATGAGTGTATGCGCATATTAAACAAAGACACGTTGCTCATGGTCTCTGGCTAGTTTTCTTTTGTGGGTACAAGTAGTTACACGGTTGTCATGCACGTGCCTAGATTGAAAACGCACGGTTATCACGAACAGGCAAGCGTCAGCCCACACGCATATCGGCCGTGTCCTAGCACGTACGTGAAGGTAGCGACGTAGCGCGCGACGCGACGAGTGTGAAGTGTACTCGAGCGAGTCCACACTCACCGTGGCCTCCATCCACCACACATTCCCATATCAAGTCCATGGACCACATGAGTGGAGCTAGCAAAGGTGAAAAACTCATTATAGACGGTGTTTCACGTGTCAAAATCTCTTGACTGACCGATGTTATATCGGATGTCCCCAAAGGGACTTGACTGACCGATGTTGGAGTCATCGTTTGCATGCGTTGGCAAACGGCCGACTGACCGGCCGGCAGGGCAGCACTATAAACAGCCCCGCGCGCAGCCAGGCAAGGCGCCGCACCATATAAATCGTCCGAACGATCGGCCACATCATCTATCGATCTTCTGGCCGGCCGTTCCAAGATGGAAGAGCACAAGACGACCGGCCTCGCTGCGACGGCGAGCCCCCTCGGCGAGCCTCTTCTCACGGCCACCGGGAAGCGGGTTGTTGACCGCGACGCCGAGGCGCAGCTCCCCCCGTATCCCAGCGCCGGCGCCTCCTTCTCCAGGACGTGCCTCAACCTCACCAACGCCGTGTCGGGCATCGGGGTGCTCTCCATGCCCTACGCCGTGTCGCGGGGCGGGTGGCTCAGCCTGGCGCTCTTCGCCCTCGTCGGCACCGTCTGCTACTACACCGGCACGCTCATAGCGCGCTGCATGCTCGCCGACGGCTCCGTCGCCACCTACCCGGACGTCGGCCAGCTGGCCTTCGGCGCCGCCGGCCGGAGAACCGTCGCCCTGTTCATGTACGTGGAGCTCTACCTCGTAGCCATCAGCTTCCTGGTCCTCGAGGGCGACAACCTAGATAAGCTCTTCCCGCCGGCTACCGGCTGCGCGGTAAGCAGTTGTACATCGTCCTGGCCGGCGCCGTCGTGCTGCCCACCACCTGGCTCAAGAACCTCGGCGTGCTCGCCTACGTGTCGGCCCTCGGGCTCGTCGCGTCGGCGGCCCTGACGGCGTCGCTGGTCTGGGCCGGCGTCTCTGAGTCCGGTTTCCGCGGGAGCGGCAACGTCCTCAACCTCGCCGGCCTGCCAACCTCCCTCGGCCTCTACTTCGTCTGCTTCACCGGCCACGCCGTCTTTCCCACGATATACTCGTCCATGAAGAACCGAGAGCGCTTCTCCCAAGTGCTGCTCTTCTCCTCGGTGCTCCGCAGCCTGAACTACGGACTCACGGCGGTGCTGGGCTACCTCATATACGGCGACGACGTGCAGTCGCAGGTAACGCTCAACCTGCCATCAGGGAGGCTCTACACCAAGATCGCCATCGTCATGACCCTCGTCAACCCGCTAACCAAGTACGCGCTGCTCGTCGCGCCCATCACGTCGGCGATCGAGGAGAGGTTCTCGCTCATGGGGAGTGGGCCGGCGAGGGTGGCCGTCAGCACCGCCGTTCTCGTCAGCACGGTCGCGGTGGCGTGCATGGTGCCGTTCTTCGGGTTCCTCATGTCCTTCATCGGTTCCTTCCTCAGCGTCATGGCCACAGTCTTCTTCCCCTGCCTCTGCTACCTCAAGATCTACAAAGCCAAAGGCCTACGCCGTGTCGAGGTCGCCGCGATCGTCGCCATCCTGATGCTCGGGGCGTTTGTTGCCGTCACTGGCACATACACTTCTTTGTTGGACATCATAGGCACTTTCTGACAGATAGTATACTTCCTCCAGGTTTTTTTAGTCTGCATATAAGTTTTGTCTAAAGTCAAAGTATCTCTACCTTGATCAAACTTATAAAAAAATTTATCAACATTCACAATGTCAAATCAATATTGTTAGATTTATTATGAAATGTAGTTTCATAGTATATATATTTGATATTATAGATATTAATATTTTTTAGGCCCTGTTTGGTTCATAAGTCCTAGGACTTTTTTAGTCTCAACTTATAAGTCTCAAGTCCCTAAAAAGTCCCTACCTGTTTGGTTCCTGGGACTTATAAGTCCCTATAAGACCATATTACAACTATAAGTCCCTATAAGACTCTCCTTGAGAGTCTTATTTCATAAGTCCCAAATGCCCACTTTAAGTCCCTATAAGTCCCTCCTGTTTGGTTTAGATGGGACTTATAGGGACTTTTTAAAGTCCCTAAACCAATAAGTCCCTGGAAACAAACACCCTCTTAGTATAAGTTTGGTCAAACTTTACAAAGTTTGACTTGACACAAATCTAATATGCAAAATAAAAAGAACCAGAGGGAATACTTCCTTTTAGCTGTGCTATGCTAGCATATCTATAATACCTAAATAGTTCATCCCCACTAACCTATTTCTCTTGACATGCAGCCTGTCCACATCATCAGTCCAGTCATATCAGCATTTTATTAGTGGCTTACATGTGAGACCCACCATAGTACATAACATCCACATCAGCTTCAGTTACCACCAGTAGGACCACGAGAGGCTAACCATGCACCAACGTCAATTTCCTGATTCAGCCCAACCCATCTCGCCCCTATTCCCCTGGATAGCATCACGCGCGGAGGCGGCAGCCACCGGCGGTGGCGGCGGCCAGGAGCCCCTCTCACACCCTCAGGCAGGAGCATTCTACGTGCGGAGAGGCGCCCCTCCGGCAGGACCGCCGGCTCAGCTCACCTCTGAACACTCCGACGCGGCAGCCCGGACCGCCTCTCACACCCCTCAGGCAGGAGGAGCCTTTGCGTGCGGCGCGACGGCCTTCCGGCAGTCCTGCCGGCCCAGCTCCCTCTGCGTGCCGCGCGTCGTCCCTCCGGCAGGACCGCTGGCCTATCTCCCCTCTGATTTTCTAACGACTCTCTCGGGCTGTGTCCCCCTTCTCGTGCCCAGCTCCCCTCCCGTTCCGGACAAGACGCATCTGCCTTCGGTGGGAAGGTCGGATTCGATCGGTTCCACCGGAATCGGACCGCCAGCTGATGTCCGGAGGTGCTCCGTGGCTGGATTCCCTCTGGTGGGCACTCCGTCCTCAGCCATGGGATGCACGCCACTGCTGCCCATCCCGACTGGGCGGAGGCTCCCTTTTCCTGCAGGTGCTGCCCCGCTGATTTAGTGCTCAGAAAATTTTGTTGGCTGTTGATTTGCTGCCAAGGACGGCAAACTCGACTATGGCGACGCCATCTGTGGACTTCAAGGTACTGTGCCTGTGCACTGTTCTTCACAAGAGTATTTTGTTCTTTTTTGTTTCGAGGGAAAGAGTATTTTGTTCTTTCTTATGTATAAATCCCTATATATTCTTATGAAAAAAATGTCACACCAACCTTACACAGCCTACTGCTTCAGCCCCTCTGCAGCCCATTGCTTCCACCAGCCCACATAGTTTATCGTCCCCGGTTATGATCTATAGCGGACAACCTGCTTTTTGTTGTTGTTGCATACAGGCTGCTAAAAATACAATAAACTCCTGTTGCAGGTGCCTAATTGATGTTTGGCGTTCCCTCTTCTAATAACGTTCGTGACGTTCCACTTCCTCTCCCCACAATCTCGAGAGAAACTGATGGATTTTTGCCCTATAAAGTCTACTACACCTAAGTACCTCACCTCATTTTATATCATCGTCCTCCAGTACGGGTGGGTCTCTCCCAGAATTCTCATACTGCAGCCGGTGAGAAACTCGCTCCGATCTCCTCTATATTCTGTATGCCATATTACTGCTTTCCATCACAAATTTGCACTTTGTCAGGTTGTGCGTGCTTGACGACACCCCGGTAGCTATCTTCGTTTGTCTTCCCTCACTGCATACACAAACGAATTCGATTTCTACCTCCTACTGGTACATATTATTTCTTATTTTCATACCAATTTTGCTGAGCTTCCATTGTAACCCAGAAATGTTATCATCAGGGACACCTTTTATTTCATGCAAATATTATAAACCAGACACATGACTTAAAATTTCCTATAAATATTACCTAATTTATGCAGCTCAAACTGTGCCAGTGTTTTAAAAATGTCAGACCATTTTTGGTTGAAGGCCTGGGCACTCTGCCTCCGAATAAGTGGTGCCTACATGATGAAATTTTTTGCTTGGCCAAACTAGCCTTGTGGGTGAACGTTTCGTTCTTGACCTTGCTTGCTGCTATGTCGTTCAGTGAGGCCAATCAACGTATTTACATTTTCTTTCCAAGTAAGCCATCCAAACAATCACCACGCCCAAATCTTACATGCATGTGCTATATTAATACATACAGTAACTGCTTAATTTACTGGTGATTAGAATCACAATATAAATACCATTTATGACTTTCTATACAGTCACTGCTATTTTTTTAATACCATTCACTGCTAAATTAGTTTTTTTTGCGGGGCACTGCTAAATTAGTTGTGTATTAATAATTCTTAAAACAACATCGCTTGGTTACAATTTTTTTTCTGCCCCACATCTATATATAACAGCACCCGTAGCATTCTATCTGTAGAAGTTCATCTTCCCTACACCTAAATATTGACTTTTACAAACTACATGGACAACCAGCAGGAAGGCAACAGGTACAACTATTACATACAAAGTAGTTTTCTCGGTTCCTCCTACGAAATTAACACCATGCATACCTATTTTCCTATAGTATGCGATCTCATGCACCAAGAAAAGTTTTGCCACCTTCATCAACGCAACAAACAAGAGAAAGACACAAAGACTACATAGCGGCTGTTACAAAGATGAAGAATGCTACAAAAACGCCAACAACCAGCATATCATTTCTTTTTTCTTTTTCTTTTGCGAGTAACCAGCATCTCATTTCAACACGACACCACAAAGGATCATCCATCCAGGGCTGGAAATACATCTTTGAGTACATCAAGAAAGGAATCCCAGATGTACAATTCGTTCACAAGGAAGAAGATATTGTGCTATTTATCCTATGAAACTGTTATACATCTATCAAATAATCAAGTAAAATAAATTCATTATTACATTTTCACTCAGCAGAATTTATCAAAATTATTGCAACCAATTCCCGCAGCAACGCGCGGGGAATTGTCTAGTATAGTACAAACAAAACAAGCCAAGCGATCTTAGTGCATGTAAGATAAAGTGAAGGTCGCCCCTGATTTTGAGAATCCGTGTTTTGGAAAACAAATCAAGGACTCATTAATTATCAACTTCAATATTCACGCTCAGAGGCCAGTCTGTTGGGTGTCAAGGAGGGCACTTTCGTAGGGATTTCTTTTTTAGAGTTAAACTTTCGTAGTTAAGAATATGGATGGTGGGGAGTTCTTTCTTAGAATGAGCCGACAGATGTTTGAACCTCAGCTGGAAGGTGATAATTGTCTATGGTCCGGCTGACCATGGGTTGTTTTCAATTTTTTTATCTGAGCTAAAGGCCGCTACTGATCGAAGTCCCATCCCGATGGTAGTGGCAGGGGACTTCAGTCTGATTTGGCAGCGCGCAGACAAAAGCTCGACTATTGTGAACCTTCCGCGCATGAGTCTTTTCAACGACTACATTGTGCAGATGGCTCTTCCCAAGATTGCTCGCGTGGGGGCTAGGTTTACTTGGACAAATAAAGAGCTCAACCCAATCCAGAGTGTGTTGGATCTAGTCCTTGCGTCCGTTCAGTCGAAGGTGGCTCTTCCACTATGCTCCCTAAAGGCAGTTACCCAATTTGGTTCTGATCACTCATCCCTGCTTTTCTTGTCGGGGAGGGTACCCCCTAGATCGAAGTGTTTCCACTTTGAAACCTTGGTTTTTGCAGTAGGTTTTGTGGAAGCAGTGCAACTTAGGTGGGCGAAGGCGGCTGCCGCTCCGCCTAGGGTGTTCTGTGTTGTCGA